TTCATTGCTATAAAACAATGTTATCGTTATTTATTGCTATAAAACAATGTTATCGCTATTCACTGCTATAAAACAATGTTATGGTTAGTCATTGCTCTAAAACAATGTTATGGTTATTCACTGCTATAAAACAATGTTATGGTTATTCACTGCTATAAAACAATGTTATCGTTATTCATTGCTATAAAACAATGTTATGGTTATTCACCGCTATAAAACAATGTTATGGTTATTCATTGCTATAAAACAATGTTATGGTTATTCATTGCTATAAAACAATGTTATGGTTATTCATTGCTATAAAACAATGTTATCGCTATTCACTGCTATAAAACAATGTTATGGTTATTCATTGCTATAAAACAATGTTATCGCTATTCACTGCTATAAAACAATGTTATGGTTATTCATTGCTATAAAACAATGTTATCGTTATTCACTGCTATAAAACAATGTTATGGTTATTCAATGCTATAAAACAATGTTATTGTTATTCATTGCTATAAAACAATGTTATGGTTATTCATTGCTATAAAACAATGTTATCATTATTCACTGCTATAAAACAATGTTATGGTTATTCATTGCTATAAAACAATGTTATTGTTATTCATTGCTATAAAACAATGTTATGGTTATTCATTGCTATAAAACAATGTTATGGTTATTCACTGCTATAAAACAATGTTATGGTTATTCACTGCTATAAAACAATGTTATGGTTATTCACTGCTATAAAATAAACCATGAAATAATTCTTGATTTTTTTTCTGCTGAATGCATGAAACTCTGAAAACTGAAGTTGAAAAAATACTGTGCAAAACAGTTCCAAAGAAATGTATGCATACTGCTGAAGTGAGTACAAGAATATACCAGTACAGTGGTAAACCATGCAACTCTAATAAGAATATACCAGTACAGTGGTAAACCATGCAACTCTAATATTCATTATATAAAATGTTCATAAAATGAAAAAAAAAAAACTAACTAAAAACTTACAATGACATAAAGGAATTAAAAAAAAAGCACATTAAATATACCTAACATTTCTTAATAGCAGACGTGAGAATCTAATGAAAAACTCAAATACTAACTTTATCACTGAGGTATTAGGCAATACATATAAGCTAAAGGTCTGGGGAGTATTTGTTCCAACACTTAAATACATTAAACACTACTGAAGTCCATAATTAAAAACTACTGACCACTTTGTAACATTACAAATAAAAAAAGTTTTATTTTAGTTAAAACGAGTATATTACTTTAAATCCAAGGATAAGCAAGACAATGTCTTATGACATCATACTTGTTTTAACAGCATGATGGTGTTACACACTTCCTCAACAGTGAGAAGAATCATCAACATTGATCCATAAAAAACTAGTAGTAATTATTTAAAACCTGTGGATATAAACTATTTGTTTAGTGTAACAGATATGTATTTTATCATGTCACATTACTGAGAATTTTGTTTAACCATTAAAATTATCTCAAATGTTAATCAATTTCCACCTGATAATTTCCCTGTTACAAACACTCCTCACGTTAACAATTGGGAAGTCTTTCAAGATGACAAAGTATATTCAGATCTTCTACTAACAAGAATACGAACAGATGAAGATAAGTAAACACGTAATTCACAACTTGCCTCTTTTCTTCCAGATTGTGAATCTGAGACTCTCTCTAAGGAAATACTTCTTGGTGTAGAGGGCTTGGCTGCACGGGACGCTGCAGCTTTATAGCGAGACTGTACAACACGACCTGGTATAAAATCATGACTGTATCGTAAAAGCAATATTCTATTTATAATGACAATTTAGACTAAAAACATCCAAGATATTAAGAATGCTAAAGAACATTAATAAATAAATATTTATATAAGCAAACTAATAAATGGGAAGAATAAAATAAAACAATGTTTAAAAAAGTCAAAGAAGCCATTTATAAAGAAATTCAATTGAAGAGTTTTTAATAAATGAAATAAAAACATCAATAGTAAGTAAAACACTATAAGGGTTAAATTATCCTAAAAATTGGGGTCAAATAAAACCATATATTCCTAACTTAATTCCAAAATGTTATTACCCACAATTAACTATTACCAAAAGCAGTAATTGAAGAGAGGGAATCTAACCTATCAGTACCAAAAGCAGTATTTGAAGAGAGGGGATCTAACTTATCATTACCAAAAGCAGTACTTAAAGAAAGGGAATCTAACCAATCATTACCAAAAACAGTATTTGAAGAGAGAGAATCTAACCTGGTATCATTACCAAAAGCAGTATTTGAAGAGAGGGAATCTAACCTGGTATCATCATCAAAAGAAGTGTTTCAAGAGAGGGAATCTAACCTGGTATCATTACCAAAAGCAGTATTTGAAGACAGGGAATCTAACCT